CTAGTCCCATTCCCATGTGCCCAAAGCCCTCTAGGGATGGCCTCCCTGACCCTGGAAGGCTGGGCCACTCAGCTGCAGCCCCCTGGGGAGACCTGGCTGGGACATGGGTAGCAAATGGCAGATGTGCTGCAGCGGAGGCAGAGGCCACAGGCGCCAGGTTGCCAGGCCAGCCAGCTAGGAGAGCACCAGCACCAAAGGAGGCCCATGAGGAGGCCAGCAGAAGCCAGGAGCATCGAGGAGGCCAGCACCACCCCTCGGAGCTGGGGGCCTGTGGGAAGAGAAAGTCCACTCAGGCCTTGGCCTGGGCCCACTGCCCCTGTCTCCATCACCTGGAGAGGGACAGGTGTGATTTTGGCGGGAAGAGTAGGAGCAGGGTGTAACCTTCCAAAGCTGCGTCCTGTCTCGTGGGGTCCCTGCCTGCTGGGGGACTCCTCTCAGCTGCAATCCGGAGGGATCCTGCGGACCCAAGAGCTGGAGAGGGAGTCGGAGAGCTGGAGGTGTGGTGGTCTGTACTTCCTGTCTCGCTGGCCACCGGAGAGGGACCTACATGGGAAAGAACAGAACTAGCACACTGAGAACTGCCTTTTCTGGGGCACTTGCGTGTTTCATTCAGTCTTCACAAGACTTCCCTAGTTTGTCACTCTTTGTGTTTCCATTTTACAGAGAGGTTGTCACTTGCCAAGGTCACTTAGCTGGAAGTGATAGGAGGACTTGAATTCACACGGTCTGGCTCCAGGGCCTACGGTCTATGAGTGGAGCTACTTCTCAAGGAAGAGGGTGTACATGTACTGAGCATTGAGGCAGGGTCTCACTCTGTCGCCCAGGCTGGAATCCAGTGGCGCAGTCACCACTCACTGCAACTTCTGCCTCCCAGGCTCAAGTGATCCTCCCAGCTCAGCCTCCTGAGTAGCTGGGACTACCAGCACACGCCACCACACCTAGCTAATTTTTTTATTTTTTGTAGAGACAGGATCTCACTATGTTGCCCAAGCTGGTCTTGACTCCTGAGCTCAAGCGATCCACCTGCCTTAGCCTCCCAAAATGCTGGGATTACAGGCGTGAGCCACCGTGCCCAGCCATGAGCATTTTCTGTACATCAAGCACCACACTCTGTGCTGGGCCCTTTACCTATGTATGCAGCTTACAGTTTACGACAATTCTGAAGGGTGAGGTTTATCCGCATTTCACAGATAAGGAAACTGAGCCATGGAGGTTCATTCTTCCATTCATTTGACTAGTATTCCTTGAGCATCTCCTATGCCCCAGGCATGGCTCTAGCAACTGGGGGATACAACCATAAGCACATGACAAATAGGTCTTCATGGAACTGGGAGTTTAGTGTGGGGAGAAACAAAACACGTGAATAGAATTTCGGTCCATAGGAAACACGTGCTAGTGAGAAAAATTACTCATGTTGGTGGGGGCAGGGCTGCTGCTTTTCTTACTGTGGCAAAGCACATAACATTTACCATTTAACCATGGTTAGGGGTACAGTTCAGTGGCATTAAATATATTCTGATAGGGTTTGGATCTGTGTTCCCACCCAAATCACAGGTCAAATTGTAATTCCCAGTGTTGGAGGTGGGGCCTGGTGGGAGGTGATTGGATCATGGGAGTGGATTTCTCATGAATAGTTTAGCACCAACCCCTTAGTGCTGTTCTCATGATAGTGAGTTCTTGCAAGATCTGGTTGTTTAAAGTGTGCATTGCCTCCCCACTCTCTCTCTCCTACTCTGGCTGCACCTGCTCCCCTCGCCTTCTGCCAAGATTGTAAGTTTCCTGAGGCGTAAGTTTCCTGAGGCATCTCCAGATGCTGAGCAGATGCCTGCATCATGCTTCCTGTACAACCTGCAGAACTGTGAGACAATTAAACCTCTTTTCTCTATAAATTACCCAGTCTCCGGTGTTTTTTTATAGCAATGCGAGGACGGACTAATACACATTCACACTGGGCAGCCATCACCGCCGTCCATCTCCAGAACTTTGCATCTGCCTGAACTGAAACTCCATCAATTCCATTAACTCCATATCCTCCTTGTCCCCACCTCCCCAGCCCCTG